TGAAGCCTACCCTGTAAGTCCGAATAAACCCACTGCATTACCACAGCCTTGCCCTTCCCAGAAGATACCATATTTCATGGTATAAACCTCCAGTTATGTTAACCGCAAAATCCCCCAAAGCATTCAAGGTTTCTGTTCTTTCATAAGCCTCTGAGGGTGGAACTTCTTAAAGAATCTACCATCCCTGAGAGAAGAAACTAATCTAAATGTCACCAGAAAAAGATAGAAGCCTAGTAACAAGACTGGTGGTCAACCATCAAGGTTCTTTCTAATCTTTTGACCAGTCATAAATACTAGATGCAGAGTGTTTCTTACAGAATATGTCACGCTGACTGTGTATTGAGGCAACCTCATGATTGTCATGCTGGCCAAAAAGTCCAACATACTTCTCCTACTATGAACCCTGAAGTCCACACGGTATAAACGTTCCTTGTTTGGTTGGGGTTTTTTAAACATCACTCCAAAGCTCTTAGACAGCACGCTAGCAGATTCATGAGTCTACCACTCTGACCAAATCCCTGGTACAAATACTCAGACCCACTAATGAACAGACTGGTTTCCTGGGGAAGAGGATAAATTGCTTATAGATGGCAGAAATAACACCTCCCCAGTCTAGCCCATGTTGGTGCTGTACTTCATATTCCATGAAGAAAGCTGAAGCAGATATACACAACCAATTTCATCACTCAGTTGTAGGTGATACATGCCTAACCAGTCCTCTCATCCACAATTAAATAGTGGGATGATAGATGTCTTACTATGGGCAGAACCAGTATTCACAAGCGGAATGCCACATTAGACTAGACAGATCAAATTTAGGTTTTTCTTTAACTTGTTTATGTCTGAACCTTTTGGGGTGAGATTTTCGCCCATTTACTACAATGGGTTTTAATTAAAAACCTGTATTTTCTTTGCATTTTATTTTAGCCAACTTGAGCATTAAAGAAAATTTTGATATGTGCGTACCATGTAGATAATTAATTTTACTGTGGTTTATTCATAGGCTGATTAAAACTGAAGATATCAAATTTCAAGAAGACCTAATTTCACTTACATGTATTTAGAAAAAAAGTAGCCCAACCTTAGATTTATCTACTGTACCCATTCATTAAACCATATTGCTGCAATTTAAATAGCAAAATATGCCCAGCACATGGGCACAGTGTTGGAGATGGGCACAAATTGCTTTCAATGTTGCAATGGTTATGAATTTTAACATTCACAGTCAACACCCATTTGTACAATTCTGCAATTCTTGCTGATTTTGTTACAGTTGCATATTATGGTTAGATAAAGCATGCTGTCTGCATCGTCCAGAGGGGTTTACTGATCCTCTATCCTATTGACTGCCAACATTCTGCAGTTCATCTGCATAGGCTGCTATAAAGAGCCATGGAGATGACCTTCCAGAAGCTATTAAGACCACAATGTGTAGAAGCATCCGTTAAGCACAGGGAGATGGGAAAGTATTAGAAAAATATGTCAGAACCTCCAGCAATCAATCTGTCAGCTCATTAGTTGCTTGCTTCATTTCTGCCATTTGTTTAGTAGTGGGGAGGTGGAGCAAGGAAGGTGAGACCGTTAACCCAGGTGAACTGTTATCTAAAGCCAGAAATGTACAAGGTCACGCCAACATAAGAACCCAGTACTGGCTGAGGAGAAGGAGGGGTAACGAGGGGGTAAAAGTAGAGTGGGAAAGCACAGGCTTTTAGTTTAAGCAATGCTTTGAAGCTGCATGTACCTCTCAATAAATGAACTTCTTTCTGAACTTATTATGAGTTTCAAAAGATTTTTCTTTGTTGGGATTTGAACATAGCAGACCTGACATAAGACTTAGACTGTCTCCTGGGGTATAAGAGAGAGGGGAGGGGAAACACAGGCAGACTTTCAAGATTCTGTTACTACACCCTACCTCAATAAAATATAGTTCTAGTCTTCTTGTGGAGTTGGCTTCCTGATCTGGCCTACCTCATAGGGCTGACATCTAACATCTCCTTGTGCCCCTGGCATCTCACCTGGTGCTGGCTCTGAATTCTGTCCTAGAGGTCTGTCCACCTGGCCTGGTTGCTTTTATCCATTTGTTCCCAATGAAGATCAGGTAAAGATGGGAATACTACATACCCTAATGACCTTTCTACGAAGACTATGCATTTCCAAAGTAGAACTTTACTGAGAATGCCACTGTTCCAATCCCCACTGGGGAGAGTTTTCAGCCTGCACTGATCAATATCAACAATAAATGAAAACTTACCATAGGGAAAGGAAGGTGGTAAAAATCAAAACAAAAGAGTTTGACTCTAGAGACACTGTCGCTTAGTTAGCCAAGGCAAATATATTTTACTGTTGGTACATATAGTATCTCCAATGCTGCCGTTTAATTTTTAATTCTGAAGTTTTTAAAAATAAAAGGAGGAAAGAGTTGCAAGGTCAGTGATACAGGACAGAACTGAGTAAATTCCACAGTCTGTTACTCATTGAAGAAGGAACAATAACTAAAAGCTAGCCATCAAATCCTGCCATAGACCAAAAGAACCTTGAGGAACTCAAACCTATTTCATTTATATATATAAAATGTTCAGGTATATTTGTTTTGAAAAAATGCATAAGCAAAACATTTAGTGTCGCATCTGAAGAAGATGCATCTAACAAGATTTTGTAACTTTTGTTAAAATAGTCTTGCACCTTTCGCAAAAACAGTAGGCTGCTGTTGGAAATACATTCTCCAGAAGTGTAGCTGTTCACAACTCACTGATGAATGGCTATGTCTGATATTTGTTTGCAAACATAAAATTGTCAAATTCATCCTTTACATTTTAGGTGTATTTTTAAAATCTTGCATGCATTTGAAATAGTAATATCTGCAGTTGTTCTTACCGATATCCTCTGTAGCAGGAACAGACCATCTGATACTTCTAGAAGTTTTGGACACTAATTCCCATTGTCATTTGATGTGCTGACTTAATTTGTAGCTTGTGGGGATTGTAATCCAAATTGCCTATCTTTGCTGTATAGTGGTTTATTTTCTTGCATTCCAATAAGCTGTACTTTTTGTTTTCTTAATCATCCAATGTTTATCTCACAATTCAATACTTCAAAAGTTGCTAAAATAATATATGAAAGGTTAATCTTATGTTTATCTTTCTAAAAATTTTGATGCCCTTGTTAACCTAAAAATATCCATGCCGTATCCAGGTCTCTAATTGGTATTGGAATCTTACTACAATACTTAAAGGCAAAGTGAAGACAAAAATATGAATCGATGCCCAAGTCACCCCAGGCCTGTTTTAAGATGACTTCAGAACTGCGCTGATTTTTTTTTAAGTACTGCTATCATGGAATATGAAGATGGGACTCTGAGAACAGAAGCATTCAGGGAACTAATTCTGGGATGTCCCACGACCTTCCTAGGTCCACCACAGCATTAGAGGATATCTTGTAGGGAGAGAACAAAGCCTGGCATCTATAAGAGTTGTGAGGACTAGAGTTTGCCAGCCACCTATCATGATCCCTTTTCATGTTACCACCCCTAAGAATGTCCCACTTAAGACTGCAGTGCTGGAAGGACCATTTGTTTTTATTTATATTTTTATTTGGCTGAGTTTAGGGGCTGCTTCAAATGCAGAATAAAACAGGAAATGTAACAATATTAAATGTAATAATAAGTATAACTGGTAATATCCAGCACTTGCCAAAAAATATCCAATGTGAGAAAACTGATCTCAGCATCCCAACCCCTCAAGACCTGCTGGATTTATGATTCCTGAAGATGACATTCCCAAAGGAAAGGGATACAAAGGGAAGTTACTCTATCAGATCTTACTGGATGGGCAGATACCACTGGGAATAGGTGGCCCCACAATTAACTAGGTTCTGACTCATGAAGGGCTTTAAAAGTGACAACCAGCACCCAGAAGCCAACTGGCAACCAGTGCAGCTCTTTTTGTGATAGTGCCATATGGGTAAGCTGAGATGTGCCCATAATTACTTGAGCCCTTGCCTGATTGCATTTCCCCAATCCATGCCCTTTGTACACACATTTTGTACAAAAATCCACAAAGAAAGGCAACAGTGTAAGCCGAAAGGTGAAGAAAAAATCATCCCTATAAAACTATCTGGTTGGAACATACCTATTGAGGAAACAGGCCTGCTGCTGAATTCCATGTCAATTCTGAATGCACAGGATTAGTAATACAAATTTGGATCTATATAAGGACTTGCGTCACTCTATGCCCAGGTGATGGATGGTTTGGAGTAGGGAGTTAAGTTAGCTGCATGGCAAAAATTAGGTGAGTTAATCTATACATGGATTGTGTGGTTTTATGCTTGGGTAGGGAGGGTGTATATGTGGGGAGAGGTAACTGGGGGATCTTTGGGAGGTGGGGGCTTTCCCTACTGATCTGAGTATCTGGGTGGTTCATAGCAGGAGAAGCTGTTCTATAGATAAGCAGGGCCTAAGCCATTTGAGTCATTAAAGGTCAACTCCAGCACCTTAAATTCTGCCTGGAAGATAACTGGGAACCAGGCAGATTGTTCAGTGTAGGCATCTCACAGTATCACGGTCATTAATTTAATGGGCAGGTAAGCCTGGTCTAGGCCCTCATGAAGGTTTATAACATTTAAAACCAGCACTTTGGTGTTTAGAAAGAAGCTAACTGGTAGCCAGCCCAAACACAGTGATAGTCATTAAAGAAAAAAATATATATTTCCTTCAGATGTGACTCTACTACAGGTTCCTCCTGCAAAATAAGTGGATAATAGTCCCTTGCTACAGAGCTTTCAAGCCGCTGTATAGTTGCTTGGCAAGAGTAAAATAAATAAATGGTAAGGTGTCTGCCATTAAGCAAAAAAATACCCCAATTGTAGCTGAGAACATTACAAGCAGAAAAACAAGATCCATTACAAGCCAGCTTTTCAGACAACATGAAGAGGAAAGAGATGATTGTCTAACAAGACAGAGCTTCTACCTATAAGTTTTGACATTCTTATTTTTCTGACCATACATTATTCTGAGCATAAATTTCCATGTTGGTTTAGAAAATCACCTTCTTGCCAAACTATATATAAACTATGTACGGTGTTTTCCCAGTGTACATATTCATTAGAAAGGACTTTTCTCAAATTATAATGTGAGGATGGTGTATTATTGTAGTAGTTGCTGTTGTTATTTTCTCTAATATACACATTTTTGTACACATTTTCAACTGCCCCCCAAAAATGAGGAGTATGCATTTTGGCATACAAGTGCCATACATAAAATCAGTTATAGTAAGGTTCTATGAAAAAAATTCCATTGATGATATTTCTCCTGTATATTTCTGGGGTAGAAATTGGTAGAACGCTACAGCAAATGTCTGAAACGATGCCAAAAGGTTTCCTCCACATGGAATGCGTGTAACACAGTTGCTTACCCATGCTATACCTGACTGAATACTGAGATGAAGAGGAAATGTACAAGAGATAGCAAAGGAACTGATTTCCATCCAGGATGATCCACAGTCTATATCAAGGGTCCCCAAATTCTTCAGTTCATGAAGTTTCAGATTGTTCATCAACTCCCAAACATTTATTATATGAAAATAATCTAACAAATACTACTTTAGTAGTACTATGAATAACAATAACAACAACAATAACAACCCCTTGGATAGTCCCATCAATCTTTGGAGATCGATACTGACCACTCTGGAGAACCCTGGTCTAGATGGAGTGTGAGGCAAAAGACCCATTGAAGGTATAGTTTACTTTCAACTTAGTAAATAACAAATATAAATGCATACAGTAGATAGGGATTCCTAAAACTACTTTTTAAAATACTCACAGCATAATATCAGGTAAGAATTACAAATACCGTTCACATGTGTACAAGAAAAAAATTGTGTTTCTCCTCCTTAACCTCCTAAAGAGAGTGGCTACAGACAATTATAGCCTCAATGATTAAAGATTTATCACTTTCAGTAGGAACAGTCCCTCAACAGCTATTGCTCTGCAACTCGTCCTGTCCTTTTCCAGTTTGCTTTCTACTGATCAGTGAATCTAATAATGTAATAGGGGGGAAGCATCTAGAGTACTTCATCCTGGCAGAAAGGAGGAATAAGTTTGTTCCTGTTTAGTGCTGGTGCCCCTGTGCAAAGATTAGGTTGTACCTTAAGATCAAAACTGGGCCATTAAAGAGTGATGTCCCTAGCTATATCATCTGTATGATGGAAAAGGTTTGCACCATTAAAGAAAATTCATGGAATAAACCAGGGATAGGTCACCTAGCACCACTGTACTCCTAGATATGTTTCCTGCCCACTAGATTTTAAAACAAATATATACATAATAGAATGCTAAGGGAAAAGGTCTCCTCAGGGCTGACCCAGCCCCTCCTCTGAGCCCCTTTGGTTCAGAGGTAAAGGCATCTGTGAGTGAAGAGTGACTAGAAAATGAAGTCTCTTCCATCTCAACTGGTTTCTCCCTTCCACACCAGCCCTCTGGGGAGCCAGGAGGGGATTGAAGGGGAAATCCTCAACCCACCCTGGCTCTGGCCAAACACAGAAAGGAAACTGAATAAAACTTTGCGAGTTGTTGCTCAGCCAAGCTGAGGTGGGTGCTAGAAGGTCAGCACTGAAACAAAAAATAATCTTTATGAAAGGTACCAAAAGAAAATAAGTTCACACACGTGCAACACACAGTTTAAATACAAAAAAAACCTAATGCAATTCTAAGTATAGCTAAATAACTTTCAACCTTGCCTGAGGTAACCCCCTCATCCAGGACTCCAGCCACCTCCCTCACAATCCCTCCTCTCCCCAATCACATCTACCCATCTCATCAGGTCCAGCAGAAAGGGCATGTTGCGGGTCCTGTCCACAAAGGAATGCCATCTGACAGGACCCAGGAGGAGAGCCTTTTCTGCTGTGGCCCTCACCCTCTGGAACATCATTTCCCCGAGGTCAGATTGGCCCTGATCTTGCTGGCCTTCCAGATGGACCTGAAGACTTTGGCTTTGACATCTGGCCTGGGGTTCCTGTGGAGCCTGCAATGTGGCTGTATTGATAGGATATTGAGTGCACTCTCCTGCGGATTATGGGGAGGGTGGTGGTGGTTATGTTTTTTTTAAATTGTTTTTAATGTTTTTAATTGATTTTTGTTGTTATGTTTTTGGTTATTTCATGTATTGTTTTTGTGTTTTTAACTTTGTATGCTACTCAGAGTCATGTATATGAGATGGGCAGCTAAACTGACCAAATAAAATAAAATAAAAATAAATACAAAATATTGTACCAGACTCAATAATTGTTTATTTTTCAATCTGGCACAGAAATGATAACCATTTTGTGAGTGTGCCCACTTCATGCTGTCAACATTCCAAGAAGATTGCCTATTGCTACCATATTCCAAGAGACAGGAGCCCTTAATCTTTCCATACAGAGGCACACTAAACAAAAAGCCGATAGAGTTCCAGCTGCTAGCTATTCCGCTTCTTCCCACTGCCTTCCCAAATGTTTTTGTTTTTCTCCAGCAAAGCTTGACAGTAGCTCTAATAGGTGGAATTCTTTTGCTTAGACATAAACATTAACAATTATTTCTTCACTGGCAACGTATATTTCCCATAGGAGGTTACTTCTCAGTCCCATTCATCTGGTGCACATGGTAACAAGGACTAGTCATTGCTCCCTACAACCAAGATTTCCAAATCTCCCTAACCTTCTCAGTCTACATCAGTGTTCTGTAACCTTGGCAACTTTAAGATGTGTGGACTTCAACTCCCAGAATTCCCTAGCCAGCATGCTGGCTGGGGAATTCTTGGAGTTGAAATCCACACATCTTAAAGTTGTCAAGCCTGAGAAACACTGGTCTACATGATTAGAACTTCAGAGCAAAGTGTTGGACAATACAGACATAATATATTATTCTCCTGAACTTTGAATTAATTATCTTAATTAAAGATAATTCATTGACTCATACCTCAACATCAAAGCAAGTAGCAGAAGCCACTGCAGCAAAATAAGTAATCCTTCAGCAAAGGGGCTGTCAAACTGTGGGTCATGAGCTTCAGGGGAGTCCTGAGCAAATCAGAGGAAAAAGTTGCAGCTACCAAAGTCAGTATTCAATTGCAGTTTGCCCATCTCCACCCAGGTAGATGGTGGTGGGTTCCTCTACCACGGTTTCTCAACCATGGCAACTTTAAGAGGTGTGAACTTCAACTCCTGCTGGCTGAGGAATTCTGGGAGTTGAAGTCCACACCTCTTAACGTTGTTAAGGTTGAGAAACACTGCTTTGGCACCTTCTGTTCCTTCTCAACTGAGCTGGGCTAAAAGTAGCTTCAGTGGTGCTGCCTAGAATAGTCTGCAGAGGGGTTTAAGTCTGCTTCAACTGGAAGAGAAGGCAACATCCGCTCATGTCCTATGGCCCAGGTTGCCATGCATGTGCCAATCACACACTGCCCATGTTGCTTGGATGGCTGGTTGTGCCCGGAGGATGCAAGGGACCACAGGAAGAAAGTACATATATGAGCAAGGAGATGTTGCTAAACAAAGAGGCCTTAATGCTTGCTAGGTTTTTCTTTCTTACAGTAATTTCTCCACCACTTACTCCAACACATTTCCAGAGAAAAAGAAAGACAAGATTATAATAGGACCCAGGAGACTAATAAGACAGCAAGGTCTTAAGAGCTTACACTGAAAAGTTTTCCCTTCTTTCTCCCAAGCTTTTAATGGGGTCTGCATAGGGATACTTTCAGACGAGCAAAAGAAGTGATAGTCAAGGTGAAGGAATATACAGTATTCCCCCTTGCCTGAGTCTGTGTAGATCAATGTGTTTATTTTGGTCCAAGACCAAAGATGTAAAAAGAAAACATTACAAAAACAACACATCAACAAAACACATAGAGGAAATAGTTAAGTTTGAAATTCAGATTCAGAATTGGATTTAACCTCATGAATCAACCTTTGCACTGCCTGTGATGCTATTTGTTTCTTATCAATCATGGTTCCAGAAATACATTTCACCACCTTATATACAGTAAAGTGTCTGGATTTGAATCAGATAGAAGAAGAGTGACATAAAATTAATCTAACCTACCTGGGTAGTTACTTAAAATAGGTATGGTTTTGTTTTTGTTTTTTTTTTCCATAGGTGATGAGAGTTGTTATAAACAGAATACAAGAAAACACGTGTCTCCTTTTTGCAAACTTTGTTGACTTTTAGTCAGCTTTTGACTTAATTCCAAGGGGGAGACTGTGGGATAGATTAAGGTGGTCCACTGTTGACAAAAGGCTGCTTCTACTTATCTAGTCTCTCTGCTCTGACACCTCTCTGGGGCCATCTTTCTGAAGCTGTTCCAACTTATAGATGGGTACAGCACGGTTGTACAGTATACAACCCTCCTTACTTTTTGATTGCTATATAAATCAATAATTCAGGCACTTACGGTCCCTGCTCACCACCCTCCTGTTCTAGCAAATTGAGTGATTCCAGCTTTTTTATATGCAGGTGATACAGTTATTATGTCCATTTCCATTTCACAGGTGAGAATGCGAAGGGCACTAAGGGCACTACATTTTTCTTTTAGAAGAAAGATTATTAATAAATTATCAGAAAACCAAAGTTCTAGTATTTGCTCAACACTGTCATAAAGTGGCAAATTAATGGGACTCCAATTGAGCAGGTGCATACCTATAAATACCTTAGAGTGCTGCTCCACACCTCTTTATCTTGCAGCACACATCTTTCCAACCAGGCTAGCATTGCTCAGTGTAGCTCCACAACTATTATGAGATTTTTTTGCATTGAAAGGGAGCTCATTATATCCCTGCAGCCTATAAGGTTTTCTTAGCCAAGACTGTCCCTCAGCTTCTTTATGGTACTCAAATCTGCTCTCTCACAAAGTTCAATACTCTTGAAGTTGTTGAAAATAAGTTTATTAGAGCCAGTCCCAAAATGTATTAGAATGCCATCTTATGTTTGGAGATGAGTTTAGTTTCTGTGGGTGCTAGATCTTGGTTCCTACTCATCAGTTTTTGGTTAAAATTAATTTTCTTCTCTAGATGGTTGATCTCTTTGGTCCTTAGGGGTCACTTTTAGTCAATGTGGCTTAAGAAAGCTATTGACAAAGTCCACCCATTGGATTTCTAAATGAAGAGCCTCTGCTCATTAGCACTCTCAAGCAATGGATCCAGAACACTGTCCAATCTGCCCTTGTGCACCAACCTGTCCCCCACATGGAGATGGCTCAAAAGAGTCTCTGAGCCATATGCTCCTTTGTTGTTCCCTTTACAAGGGCTCTCAGATGACCTTCATCTACCCCATCTGAAGACATTTCCAGGCAGAGAGCACAACTTCCATTTGTTGCTCCTCCTCTCTGATAAGAACTCAAGAATACCCTCGTAGGTTGCTCAGTTCTGGGCCTCTATATGTTCCATTCACCTTACTTGTAGCTGAATATTTTTACTTTCATCTATTTACTTGTATTTTATGTTACCTTATTTTACCATTACTGCACTTCTCTTCTTGTGTTTATATTTTTTTAATTTTTATTCCTTGTTATGTATTTTATGTTTATATTTACATCTTTTGTATGTGTGAATGTATTTTGTAGATTTTATCTTGCTGTTTTCTGGCCTTAGAACTGTAATAAATGATTCAGTTTGAAATAAAACATGTCTCTCTGACTTGACAGACCCTGAAAAAAAGCTACTGTACCTCACATAATTGCAGAAGGTAGAGCATTTAGTCAGGCTAGTGAAAATGCCTTTGAAGGAAGTCACTGAAAAGGTAAGAAGCCAGGGCAGAGATTTTAATAAAGTTTCCAATGGCACAGCATCAGGCTATTTTGTTTATTGGTGTCCCATATATGCTGTTTTATAGCTTCTTTGGCCTTTAGATATCCCATGGATGTCATAAAAGATCGTGAAAAGCCATATCCCTTTATTTTTGTTTCCAGAGAGTATATCCACCAATGATTATTCTAAAAAGCTCAGGTTTGCATGAAGAATATTTATGCATCCTAGAGAGAATGTACAGATTAATCTACACTTTGTTTTTTTTCTCCATCACCTTCATGGTAACACTAGAATTATTAGTATGAGTCAACCTCTGTGAAGGACTGGAGGGTGGCAGTAGAGGGGAAAGAAAGAGCATCCTCTGGGTGAGAAGAAGTGGCACGTTCTCCCCAAGACTAAGAGTCTTGCGGGCAGCCTAATCCTGATCAGTCTCAGGTGAGAGCAGAGTCTGGGGGTGAGCAGAAGTGGCTGAAGGGCAACGTAAATAGATACAGTAGATAGGC